GTGGGGGCCATCTCCTGGAGGAGGAGGACAGATGCAGGGTGTGTTAATGAGCTCAACTGGTGAACTACTTCCTTCCACTGGTTCAATACTATGTGGTGAGCGTCTGTCCATTTGCATTGGTGATGGGACATGTAGATCTGCTCTGAATTTATTATGTTTATGCAAAGAAAGATAATGGTCTATGGATGAATGTGATACAAAAGAAAGCTTAAAATACATTTGTTTTTTGGACATTTTTAGAAACAGATATATATGTTTTAAGTTTAATTTTTATTTCTTTTGCAAAGTGTTGCACTGTGTGATGTTTATACTGATATTGTGGTGTTGTATTGAGAGGTACATTTTTCACTTTATTATACTTGGGGAGCAATGATAACACAGCAGCAACCAGGGGCGGACTGACAACTCATGAGGACCTTGGGCAATAGGGGATCATGGGGCCCCTGTGTCCTTGTCCAAACTCAAAAAAGCCTATGAAAAGGTACTAGGGGAATCTCATGGGGCCCCCTACTGACCCTGGGCCCTTGGGCAGTGCCCGAGTTTCCAAATGGTCAGTCCGCCCCTGGCAGCAACAACACCTAGAGAATTAACTGGTGGGGATCTTTGGGTGGTTCCTAAAAAAAGCACATTGTCAATATGTCTTCAGGGAGCCCACTTTTTTAATTTGCCCTGTTAACAGATCAGTGAACATTTGTTTCTGTAAGATATAGATTCTTTTATTTTCTTAAACTATGCAATGCATATTTAAAATTTTCTTAAGGTAATAATCTCTTTTTATATTATAAGGTGTTTTCTATATTTGATAGAAAAAATATATTGGCTGCATCGTCCTTTCAGGAATCTGCCTCCATATGGAAGCCAGTTACATTATACCCTTTTGGGTTGTTTATGTGTCTGCTAAGAATTGTGAATCTTCTTCACATTAAAGAGCATCTGTAGGGTGACACAGTAAATGTTAATCAAATATTTATACTGGTCTCTTGTTTCACCTAACCTGAAACACAACAGACGTTAAACCTTATTTCAGCAGAAATACAGAAGCTTTATTTAAAGAGTAACTCAGGGTCCCATTATAAATCTGATGAGCATCAGTGTCCTTTAAACTTTACTACAGTCACAAGAACTGTAGCTAGTATATTATTTTATATTTTATTCTATGTCAGCTTATCAATAATGCATCCTGAGCAGCCCACATCACATAAGTTGGGAAGAAGATTAATAGCCATAAATTTAATGGAAAAGAATGACATAGTGCATAAGGGCCTATTAACCACTTGCCAACCGCATTATTGCCAAATGTCGGCTACAGCATGGTTGTCCAGTTCTGGGAGGGCGTCAATTGACGTCCTCCTAGAATGCGCAGTCCCGCGTGTCCCCTGGGGCGCGTACCTGGCGATCTCCATGATTGCTGTGTCCTACGGACACAACTGATCACGTGATGTTGTAAAAGGCCAATCACAGTGGCATTTTACCACGTGATCAGCTGTGTCCAATGACACAGCAGATCACCGGTAAATGCAGCTGCCTGTTATCAGCTGCACTTTCCTCACGCTATTACAGCAGCAATTGTCAGTGGACGGATTAGCACCGATCATCAGGGCACTGATGATCAGTGTCCAGCAATGCTGCCCACCTGTGCCCAGCAGTGCTACCTACCTGTGCCCATCATTAACTAGTAGTGCTACCAACCAGTGCCCAACAGTGCCCCCCATCAGTGCCCAGCAGTTCTGCCAGTCATTGTTGCATATCACAGCCAAATTATCAGTGTCACCTATCAGTGTCCATCGGTACTGCCTATCTGTGCCAGTTCATCAGTGCCCATCATTGCCTCCTATTAGTGCTGCCTATCAGTGCCCATCAGTGCTGTTTTAAGTTGGTTAATGGTAACGTTTGACCATTCTTCCAGAAGTGCATTTGTGAGGTCAGGCACTGATTTTGGATGAAAAGGCCTGGCTTGCAGTGTCTGCTATAATTCATCCCAAAGGTGTTCTATTACATTGAGTGAAAAAAAAAATAAACTCTAGTAGGAGAAACTAATGGGGTGTCAGCACCTGTGGTAGTGAGCTCCTAATCCACAGCTTGGGGTTCCCCAGGGCGTGGAGTCTAAGCCCCAGCCTGCTTGTTCACCAGAGCCCCTGATGGTGGGGATGAACTTGCAGCAGGCTGGGACCAGGTCACGGCCCCCAGGTACACCCAGCTGAGGTAGAAGAGACCACTAGCAGGAGCAGAGTACAATGGGAGTAGACTCAGGAGATCCAGTAGGCAAGCCGAGGTTAGGACAGGCAGAAGACAGGCAATGTCAGGAACAAAGCCGAGGTCAGTACACGGATAGACAATATAGGAGGAATGTCAGGGACAAACCGGGGTCAGTACACAGATCTACTTGCCCGGATTCTCAGAGGAACACAGGAGCTCAGACAACAAACGTTGCTCAGGCAAAGTGCGACAGACTGAGCATGTCTTAAATAGACAGGCCAGCTAGGAGGCGGGCCAGGAAGTGATGAAAGGGAAGCACATAAAACCCAGGGAATAGCAGACGATGCCCATAGGTGAGCACAGAGAAACACACTTGTGAAGGAACAGCAAGGAAGTAAGACAAACAAACAAGAGGCTGCAGGCTAACTTGTGACATGGGGCTTTTAAGGTACCATACCATTATGGGTACAAAGATGCATAATCATAAACAATATTGGATAAAATAGAGCATATTTTATTATGACATTATAAAAGAAATCACACAGAGTGTCAAGCAAGTCAAACACCAATGTAGGCACATACATAATGAGTCAACAAAAATATAAGAAACCAAAAATGCTTTTCCATAAAATTGAATCCAAAACTGGATAATCAATCGAAAGATCCAACGTGTTTCGTAGGATGTAACCCACTTCTTCAGGGAAAGTGGAAAAACTGAGCAACAATGTCTACAGTGGAATCAAAAATATACAACCAATTAACAATGAAAATACAGATATAACATAACAGTGTACACAAAATTATATAAAGCAATAAATGAAAAAAGAGGCAGCAAATTACCAGTCGATGATAGCACTCTGTACAATAGCTAATAGCTATTTTCACCTCTGCATCCGACGCTTTGCATTGTACTTGGTGATGTTAGGCTTGGCTGCAGCTGCTCAGCCAGGAAAACCCATTCCATGAAGCACACTATGCACTGTTGTTCTAATCTGAAGGCTACATGAAGTTTGGAGGTCTATGGACTCTGCAGACAGTTGGCGACTTCTGCACACTGTGTACTTCAGCATGCTGCACTGACCCCACTCAGCATTGTACAGCAATGGTGTTTTTGGTTGACCAAGCTGTGAGTAATTCCATTATTTGAGTGCAATAGATGTTAAACTCACTGGCCTGTGGTTGCTAGCTTCTACGTTGCTACCCTTCTTATGGATAGGTACAATATTGGTTGTCTGCCCGTCATGGGAAACTTCCTCTGTTAGAGTAGATTGATAAAACGATTAGTTAATAGTCCAACAACTATGCATGTATTACTCTGGGATGAATACTATCAGGACCTACTGCTTTATTAAGCTTCATCTGAACCAGCTCCTCTGCTAACTCTGTCTCTGAACTGTAAGACTGCAGGAATGGTCAGTTTGAAAGACTTTACAGAATAAATTGTTTATGTGGTTTGCTACATCCAGGTCTCCCTCAACATAAATGTTGTACCTAGTTTTAATTTTTGTGATCCCATGATATACATTTCTTTTTTACTATGTACCACAAAAAAAGGTTGTGTCTCTTTTCTTAATGGATTTAGCTGTTTCCTCCTCTCCTCTTTTCTTTGGAATCGCTGATAACGTGTTTAGTCACCTTTTTTTCATTTTATACACTTCTCTACCGGTTAGACTTTCTATTTCCTTGAAAATCCTATATGTTGATTTTTTTTCCTGCTTCACTAAACTACTTACCACTTTAGTGAACCATATTATTTTTTCTTCTGTTTACCCTTATTAATTTGCATTGCATATACTCTGATTGCTTCCAGGATGGTGGACTTCAATAGTGCCCACTGATTACTGACTGTTGTTGCTTCACTTCAATATTAATTTTTTTTTTTCAGAAATCCATCCAGAAATTTCACCAAATGTGTCCTTTTTAAATCCAAAACTTTTGTTTTTGTGTATAATACTCATTTCTTGTTTTAATATCAAGGTAAAGACACAAGTGATCACTAGAACCCAATTTGTTTCCATCTCAGCACCACAGACATTCAGTCTCCATTCGTTAGTGCTAGGTCTAAAGTATGATCTCTTTGGGTTGGCTTTTTATTAGCTGTTTCACAGAAACCCCATTTAGTGCCTCTATAATATATCAAACCCTGCTTGTAAGCACAGTTTGAAAATTCCAGTTAATGTCAAGCATGTTGAAGTCACCCTTACTAAAAACCTCTTCCTTCTTTGTAATTTGAGTTATCTTATCAATTAATGGGTCATCATATACTTCATACTGTCCTGTGGTCTGTATACTACATCAGTTCTAACAGAAGGTCTCCCTCTCTGGTTTGAGAGAGCCTAGAAAGACTGCTCCTATGCACATCGCCCAGGTTAGTATACAGGGAGGCACAGCATTCGTGTAAAAAAAAAACCACAAACCTTTTGCCTTTAGAACTACTTTAACCTCCCTAGCGGTCTGATTATGTCCATATTTCTGTGCTCAAAGGGGTACATTTTTTTTGCATGGAAATATGTATTTGTTTTATTGTAGGCCTGTAATTTTTAGGAATAACTCACTGAAATCTGTCCGAACAAGAATCTAGTAAACATCCCAGGTATGTTAAAATTTGAAACACAAAATCATAAATTATAATTTAATAAATAATCATAAAAAATAATAATATAATAATAATTTTAATTCAATAATATAATCAAACCAAAAACACTGAAATTTGAAAAATAGCGCCAAGTTTGCACATCACTGAGCAAAGTCGCAAAATCGTTTTCAGTGTCTGATGACAAATTTCCCCCACGAATCATTATAACTCAAATCTGCAAGTGGTTCTAATTTACTATCGCTGTTCTCTAGCCAGTCTAAAACCGCTTTTGACCTAAAGGGATGCATTTTGGACGCCATAGACTTTTCTCAGTTTCCAGGCAGAAAGAACAGTAAAATGTAGGCAGGGCACAGGACAAAGCACTAGGGACAATATGTATGTGAAATGGTTTAGTACAGTAATGTTTTACTATGTGATCTTAGTGAATTTAGTGAATGTCACTTTTTGTCATTTTCAAATTTCCCGCTGTTCCGTACCCATACTTCCCGATGCTCGCAGGGGAAGGAACCCAGAAGACAGATGCCGGCATCCGCCGGAGGACATTACAGGGGACACTGCAGGAGGGACTTCGCGGGAGCGCAGGACAAGGTAAGTGAAGAACAAATCCCGGAGCAGCGTCCCATGGTAAGCCCGAGTGTAGCTCGGGATTACTGCTTGTGGTACTGAAACCTTACCCCGAGCTACACTCAGGAATACTGCCAGGGAGGTTAAGTACCATAATCTTTTTACTGAATTAGCTACTCCTTCTGTCAAGTCCTTACCAACACAAACCCTCAAATTTGTTTTTTTACCTGTTTGGGACAGAAATATCAATGAAATCTTTCTCAGTTTAAATGCATGTCCAAAAGCTGCCTGAATTCCATTACAAGTAGCTCAGTGTCCTTGTGTGAAGGCTGCATATCTCTTTTGTACAACTCAGTATCAGACAACCTGCTATCATCATGACTAACATAATCAAAACCTTCAGCTTTACACCCATTCTTCTAACCAACCACTGGACTCTGCAATACAAAGGATTTTCCTTTTTTGTGCATTTTGGACAGGTAAGACATCTAAAAATGTGAGTTTACACTCTAACTGGCAATGGTCATGGCTCAAACTGTGAAAACCCTTCTGTACAGAATGCACATAATTATGGGACAAATCATTGATGTCAAGGTGCACAACAACCTCAACATTGCACTATTTTGACTAGCTTCCCTAACAATATTTAAAATGCACATTTTATCTCTCCTCACAGTAACACCAGGTAAACATCTAACTTCTTTTGACACTACCTAAAGAAACACCTCCTACTGATGGAATTTCTCTATGGCACTAACCTGGTTTGCACATCAGATACAAAATTTACATTTGGCAAAGTAATTCTTTTTTCCTTCATATGCCCAGAAGGGTTGCCATTCTAAAAAAATTGCTATGTTTGCAACCTTTGTTTCTATTTCAAGCACAGAAGAAACAGTATAAGTCCCCGGACACAGTGGATGCGAATTGGCATGCGATTTGCATGCCATGCGACTTGCAAATCGCATGCCAAGTTGCACACTATTGGCGTGGTCATATCGTTGCGGTTCCGACTTTGTCAGAGCCGCACCAGTTTCTAAAGTAGTACATGCACTACTTTGGGAGCGATTTGCATAGACATCTGTGTCAGAGGTCTTGAAAATTGCACCTGAGGTCAGCATGTCATCCGACTTTGAAATTGTGTGATTTCACTGTAAGTCGCACAATTTCAATGTCTGGTTTGGTGTGACTGGGGTGTTAGGGTTTAAGGGTTATGCAGTGTCACACCAAAAGCTTTTTGCTTATGGTCCACATTCCTTATTCTTCCAGACCTAATAGTTGTCCAAACTGCAAAGGCAGGAAGAGCTGGCTTTTTGCAAGACAGGTCTACAGAACAAATTGGTTTGGGAAGCCTGATCTCAAAAGAATTTAAACAAGCAGTAGCATCACAGGATAGAAATCTGCATACAGATAGGACAGCAACACAGCTTCTAAAGCTATCCAAAAGCTTCCAAAGCCATCTAATATGCAACGACAGTGCAGTTTTGTCCTCTGCACTTTTGTCTGGATGCACTCACAATGGGCTTAAACTCCACTTTACTGCAGCTTCACTTTAGAGCATTTTCCACCAGACTCACACACCTCTTCCTTTCAGTGGTAGCCTATCTTGGTGACTACTAGGGATGAGTCAACTGGTCTGAACTTAGGCTTGTACTAAACTTTGGCAATTGGTACCCTGCTTGTCGTAAAACAAAACTCATATAATGTACTGTATTTCTACTGCTTCTGTATGTGACAGATTCCTGCTGTCAATGGTTCCAAAGGAAGCAATGGGTGATGGCACCCCTGCTGTATCCTTGGCAATTGTTGTCATGAGCATATTAACTTACCTGGCCAGAAATTCCTGGCCATGAAAGCAAAGGGGTGGGGATAGCAGTGACATCAATGCAATATTTGGAAAATCACATTGATTAAAATGACCATGGCCATATTTGGTCAATAACGTCACCACAATCCCCCTCTCTTCCACTATATAGTGGATGACAGCTCAAGGAGCTGTCCTTTGGTGAGGAGTGCAATCAAGATCGGTCATGTGTGCTTGAAGGATCTGGTAGGAATTATGGGAAACCCCAATGCCAATTTTGTTTTTTTTCTGTAGGGACTCCCAACCAACATCTATATCAGACCCTCATCTAGGATAAGGGTCTAGTATAGATGAGGAAATATAAGCAGATTACAATGTAAGCAAAGAAGCTGGGGATGGTTAGAAGAAATAAAATACAGTGAGGGAGGTGCCCCAAAATTCATGCAAGGCCCTTTAACACTCTAAATAAGACCTAGTTTTAGACTCTCTCAGATTTGCATGTGCTAGAGGGACCTGAGTGCCAGAGGTTACTGGATATACTGGGTTTGCTTTTACGTAGACCTAAAATTACTGGTCCTTTTCTACTTTAGTCAAGGCTGTTTTAACAGACTTTTTGTAAGAAATTTGTCGACCTGTTGACTTCTGCTACCATTTTTGAATAACCTAAACCCCTCCTGTTCAAGTTTCTGCAAATAAAATCCACACAACCTCACCCTCTAGACTGAACATGCGTTGTCAGTGTGCTTGAAACTGTGTTTAAGGCAGGCAGCCTCTGTACTAGGTAGCAAGATCTAGACATATTCTCCACAGCTCCTCCGGTGATGAGAGCTACACAAACAATAAACATTTCTTCTGAAGTTAGTACAAAAGATATTAAATCAGTTAGTTCCTTATTCTAAATTTTCATTTATGTTAATAAATAAGCAAAATCCTAAGGGAGTTAAAAGAAAATCTAAAACTTTCTATAGGAAGTAGTTTGATACACTCTACAACGGCAAACTTAAATTGTAACATTTGACCCTGACCATTCATGTAGGCAAAACTATATTTGAGCAGGAAACTGGCATATCATAAATACTACAGACATGGCAGTTAAATCTTTAAAATAATTCATAGAAATGTAGGCAAAAATATGAAAAGGTTAAGTAAACACAGTCAATCTCAAAAACCTAGTAACAGCAAGCAATGCTCCTGAATTCAAGAAATGGTTGTGGTAATTATCTGTTTTCCCAAGTGGCTGATAATGATACCTTTGACAGCTGGAGGCACTTGTTATCACAGAGGGAGATTTTCCAAAGCAAGCCAGAACTGTCATCTTTTCAGTGGATTACTGAAATATCAAAATAGTGTGCGTAGGCTGTTGTCACCATTTGGTAGGTACCAAGGTGGGTATCCTGTTGACTTTATAGATGATAAATGGATATCTCTTCTCATCTTGCATGAGCAAATATCTGCCTTTCTATGGGTATTGTCATTCTATTGATAACTTATTGCTAGATGATTCAACATGAGATTGACAAGATTATATCCCAAGGTTTATGTTTTCAAATCAGAATAGCATGTACGTATTTTGTGCCTCACATATTGTGTTTTTATTATATACTACATTGTGTCTTGCTATACTACATTTGTGATTATGGTGCTATATTATCTTGGGTTCTTCGGCTACGCCAGGCAGTGGGCAGCGTAACTCGCCCTGCACATGGGGGTACCTTTTTGTGAACATACTCATCAATGTCTGGGACCAGGTGAAATCAATCTTAAGGTGGCACGCTGACTTACAGATGAGCCGTGCACCATGTGCAATGAATATTTGCTGAGTTCCAGTAGAAAATGCTATCCCGTGCAACTACACACCTTGCTGTAACTGTTGTATTTATTAGGGACATCACTGAGCCTATACCCTCTCCACCTGTCCAGCGTACCTCTGCCACCTTGCTTCCAGTGATAGAATGAGGTCCTGCCAAGGACCTGCGTGGAGCTCATGAGCGCACTCTCCTGTACCATGTGACTGGGTTGGGGGTCTCCATAACACGGAATTGGTCCTGGTTGCTATGGGAATCCAACCACTGGGGAGGGAGCCCGATTACCGATCTCTCCACTACTGGAGGACCCTCTGCAGTGCCAGGTACCACATTTCATGACACCCTGCTGAAACACTTTACCCCAGTCCTTGGTTACCCATGGCAACTGCTTACTTCCTCCAATCCTGGAGTCGAGTTAACCCTTTGTACTGGACTTGCTTCATACTCCAGTGTGCTTTACTGACCCAAGTTCTTTTATTTGCCATTAACCTTCATGCACTCCTTTTAAGTATCTTCAGTTAACAAACTTTACTGAATGTTTTCTGCCACATTACTGTTCAAAGTGCAAAAGACAGTTCTCATAGCTAACTAATCTGTGGCTGCCAAGGCATACCTCTTAAGGATAGAGTCCATAACTGGTGAAAGTCCATGATGTGGTGGTTGATGATGAGCTGGTGTCTTTGGGCAGACAGCAGGGTCCAAAAGTCCCCCTTCGTAGCGCTGTGTCACAGCATCATCAAAAGCCTAAAAAAAGTGCAAGCCTCTCTGTAAAGCAGATGGAGATTACATCATTTTGGCTTGTCTCTGTCTTCTTCCCATGCAGACTGACATGTAAACAGAGCCCTCCCCTTTTTTATTACAGCACAGGGGAGAGGGCTGAGCCCAGAAAGACCATAAAACTGAAGAGACAGGCTTAACCCTTTCCCAGCCTGGGCAGCCTGACTCTCTTTCTAACAGAAAACATTCCCCTTGTAGGCAACCTGCTTCAACGTGTGTGTGTGTGTGTTTGGAGTGTGTTAAGTTAAGATGTCTGTTGATTCTGCTGAGCCAGCAAGTGGGCATACTGTGTGGAAAACGTAAGATTTATAGAGGAATGGCATTTGAAACAGAATAGTGCTTATTTGCCACACACATGTCCAACAAAAGTTTCATTTTGTTTCTGTATTTTATACAACATAATATTGACAGATAAAGAATTTCATCCAGCAAGTGTAATCTTATAAATACTTTATTAAGTAATGCAATAGGGGCACTTTAGTATTTCTAAACAGACTAATCTAATTAATTTCAAGGAAAACTATTATGTCCTTATTATCTTCTATTTCATAACATACAGTATCTTCAATATATTTGCTTATCAGGCGGCTTGTGTTTGTTTTTAATTAACTGTAACATCTAC